CACATGCTTTCTACAGTTCATCTCTATGTGCACTGAGGCAGGACATCATCCAGTCTGAAGGTGCAGTGAAGTGAACAGGAAAGTATCAGACCTGTGACCTTTAATGCAGTTTACTGACCGGGATAAGAGGAGAAATATAAATTCTTAGAGAGTCTGTGCTTTTCTTGGTCAGTTCTCTCTTCACTCTGCGGTCAGGTTGCTGCAGAGTTAAGTGTGAAAGCTAAAAATAAATGCAGCACTGAGGTGTAGAGTTTCTAGCAGCTAAACATAAGATAGCAGAAAACTGCTATCAAGATCTCTGACTTTAGCACCCGCTGAATGAGGGTAAATTTTGGCAGATCGTCAGACCATCCGCCATTTTGGCAGACGAGAAAACGTTCAACAGAAAGACACGTGTAAGTTTAGTGTAGCCTATTATGGTGATCGGTACACACCCCTGCCTCACACACAAGACACACAGAGCAGTCAGCTCAGGTAATATCTGTGGCGGTGTTTGAACCAAACTCAGCAGTGGAAGAGGCCCAGTCCCTCCTGAGTGACAGCCGGTGAGCTTACCAGCAGCACCGGCCAGACAACAGGAGGGAACTCCGGTGTTGATGGAGAATCATAAGCTTGTCAATCAGAGACAAGAGACATCACTTGGTTTTATTTTCATTGGCCAACTTTTGTATTGAAAGGAGTATTTTTTGTTTGCTTGTTGGGATCCAGAAGAAGACGTTTTTATTGAGATATGGACCCATTCATTGGTGGTTTAACTGAGTGTTAGGCTGCCTTTGAAATATCAGGCTGTTAGTGATTTTTAGGTTAAGTGAAATTAATGTCATGTACTAAAAGACATGCACAATGTTTTTTGTGTTTAAAATTTGAATGATAACATTATTTACAGTATGCATAAATGAGCAGAATGTTCATTTAGGTTATCTTGGTGCATTTCTAAATTGACAGATACAATTTCTGTGTTAGACAAAAATACCTGCTTGTCACAGTGGCAGGCAGTAAAGAAGTTATTTTTGGACCTTGCTGCTGTCAACACAGAGCACAGAAACATCACACTGAGGTCAGACAGTACAAAAGGAACTAGCAGGAGTTGCAGATGAAGATATGAGAGAAGTTTGTCAGTATGACTTCACTGTGTGAGACCAGTAGGCCTATCTCTCTAAAACCTTCACCGTGATAAAAGTAGCTTCAAATAGGAACTATTTGAAGTCTCTGTTTCCGGTTTACACTTTCTTGTCTAATTGTACAAGTGGATAATGGAACAAGCCGACGCTTTGGTGCGTAAATTGCATTTACGTCTTCATTCAATGCGACAATAACACAGCATAGTGCTAACATCGTTTAGGCAGCATCAGCTCTGGAAAAATGAACTCACACTGTTCAATATACATTTGCATTAGCGCAAGTAGGACAATGAAATTAGGAAATACCCCCTAAACTGGCTGTTTTCATCAACTGATCCTGATACTTCATTCTGATCCACTTATTTTCACATCTGACCTTCAGCCTACTTTTACAAGACCTACATTTCCCAGCTTCCCCTGTTTTAATGCTAATATAAGTTTAGATATTCAGTACCTGACACAGAGAGAAGGAAGACGACAAATCCACTTGTTGCTGCAGTTAAACTCATAGCTGCTCCTCTCATCTCTCTGTGTGCTTAATATAATAAACAATAACAAATAAAACTGACAATAAAACATGTCAGCAGATAAAATAATGTACACAGGAGATATACAGTATCAGTCACATCAATAAACAATTCTACTTACAATGAAGAAGGGCGTTGTCTTTAAAGAAGCCTTCCTCTGTGTCAGCAAGCAGAACACGGATATCAGGCTGTTAAACTACTAGATTTCCTTCCTCTTTAGATTATTAATATTCATGATGAGCCAAATGCCAGTTAACACCAACATCAAAATAAAGAAGTAACGATTTGCAAACTAAGAACTTAATAAGAGAGAATAAGAAAATAGTGTTATGGCCTGTTGGTATTAAACCTGTTTGCTGCTTCCTACTGACACAAGAAAAGAGAAAAGAGAACAGACAGGCGTGAAATTTGGTTTCATGCATTACTTGACACGTCTAGTGCATCTTTAGACAGTGAAATAACCTTTATACCAGTATGAGTTCAAAGAGATGGACTGCAGCAGTATGGGATATAAAAAGTCACGTGCTGAGCTCAGTGTTTATTCAGTATTGAGAAACATGTAAGAAAAGTAGATCAGAAACAATGAATTACATTTTGCAGCTCTCTCACTCACAGTCATTGTGACTCTGTGTCACTGTAACACAGAGCACATCTGACAAGATGCTGCTGGAGGTAAGACAGAAAATATGTCTTCTTGTAATTTGGGTGAAGTGACTCTTTGAAACAGCAGTGGAGGGAGCTCTCAGAGTGAGGAAGCCTGAATGTGCCACAACAAAGGTTCACCACTAGAGGGCAGTGAAACATCACAGAACTGAAACAGGACGCTGAAACATTACTCAAACCAATGAATGGATTATCAAAATAGTTGGCGATAAATTTAATAGTTGGCAATTAATCATTGCAGCTCTAGACTGTGTGTTGCTTTCAGCCTGTCCACCCCATTATCCCCAGGTCAGATCTACCGGTGTGCATTTCTCTCTAACACCACAGTGTGTTTTCTTTGCTGCTTATCACTGAGAGTCACCAAAGTTAGAAAGTTGATGCTCATTGTGGCTCTATAAAGACACACAGCCCTGAAACTGTAAGATGCAACTTTTAACTAATTGACTGATGAAAATGGCTTCAAAAACTCACTTTACCATGAAGATAAACTTGAGCATGACAAATACTCTCAATTCCATATTTTCTGATACTTACTGACAGTACACCAATATTGTTACTTCACAGCTGTATTACATTAGTTAATACACATACACTCACTGATGATATGGATAATCAGGTGGGTGTTAGTGGTTTTACTTTTACACTGTTATTCTTAACGGTATATTCTTTCATGCAAAAAAGAATAAAAATATTCTTAACATGTTGATTTGTGGGTTTTTTTAACCTGTCCTGTCCAGCAGTCTGTTACACATTATGAAGAGCTGGATGTTGTGATAGACAGATTATTATTGAAACTATTGGTTTGTTGTTCTTACCATCATTTTAACTTCTGTAACGAACTTGCTGAATGACGGCTCATAGAAGCTCTTAATGAAGGGCTTTTGCTCTGAAAAGCTTCAAATTAAGTGAACCTCGACCTGATCTGCTTCTATGAATGACCCCAAACAATTTAAGTGGACTAAATTGACATTTACAGCTGAAATGAATGTTCCTGAATTCCTCTTCATTAAACTGTCTGTGCATCTTTATATCAGCAACATCCCAAATCATAATAATCTGTTACGCTGTGGCACATTTCATCCTCACAGTGACAAGAACTGACTGTGTATAATAAGCCAAGGCAAGATTTTATTTGTCTGGTAAATAAAATAATATTATGGAAAATAAGCAGAAAAACTGAAATGCACACAGAAGCTCCTCATGAGTTAATAAGTTATTTCATAGGGATAATTTCAAAATAACAGTTTCAATAACAACTTTATTCCTCACATTCCTGACATAACTAACTAATATAACAAACTCTGCAGGAAATAATAAGCTTACATAATTTAATCATGTCAAACATCACCTGTCTATCGACTGACAGGTCATCATGATTCAGTTCAACCTGCTAACACCACCATGTTGTCCTACTTTGTCTGAAGTCTGAAATCTGAAGTCGGCCTGTTTTATTGGATGCAGGAGGCTCTAACCTGACTGGACTTCACACCATGTCTTCCTGCTGCTCTGTGTCTTCTGTCTGTGCTGCAGTGACGCCCTTCAAGTCTGAGACGTTCTCATACGCAGGACAGAGTCTAACTGATGGGAGAGACGACAAAATGAAGCTCAATGTACCTCTTTCATGAAACCTGCATATAATTAGATTCTATCCAAAATGTATTTAATCACATTTACAAGTAAATTATTTGCTGAAATAGTGTTATGACAAAATGCCTTACTGGTTTCTACTCAGCAAGTTGCATTTTTAACCTTAATCTCCCCACTTTTCATCATATGGTGGATTAAGATGTCTGATGTGTACATGTGTAAGTGAAGTGAAAAACGTACCTGCCACAACAGTCAAATGTAAAGTGAAGTTAAGACGTCCTCTTTTGTTCTGGGCTTCACAGTAATATTTGTGTTCAGGTCTGATGTCAGTGATGGTGAAGTTCTGTCCTGACGGAGTTATGACGTCCTCGTGTAGATGTTACAATTTGCAACACAAATTAAACTTTTGTATTTACTACATCAGAGGACTGTGGCTGTTAGTTTAGTTCACATGCAGTTCTTCTATTGACTGTGACAGACTGAAATTGTCCGCTGCACACAGATGTTGTCACTTTGTTAAGCTTCTCCTGCTGGACTGAAACTCCAGCATGTTAGTGTCCAGTCCATTGTGCGCCTGCCTGTTTTGCTTGTAACCTCTTAAAATGAAGCAATATGTACTCCCATTTTGTGGCCTCAGTGTAGATATGACTTGTGAGCATTTCATGTTTTTATTTTAGGCAAAACAAAACATTACAGAACAAAGGAGATGGACCACAATAAAAAGGAATTAAAAAGGAAGCAAGACAGACAACTGTAATAAGGTTAAAATGTATCCTGCAGAGTTTTTTTTTATCACTAGCATTATGGAGACATGGTTTTACAAGTGGGTTCTAGTTTTGTTTAGCAGGTATAATGTTTATCATATTCACCATGTTAGTTGTGTTAGTTTCTAACATTTGTTTATCAGCGCTAAACAGAAAGTACAGCTGAGGATGCTGGGAATTAGTTTTTCAGCTATTTGGTCATAAACCAAAGAAGCAAACAAATCCATCCAATAGTTGTCAAGATATGTCACAAAATGACACCATGGTTGTGGTGCAGGGTTAAAATCTGGGGATCACCAAAGTCAGTAGGATGCATCCTCTGGGAACCATAAATGTCAGTAAAAACTTTTATGACAATCCATCAAATAGTTGTTGAACTATTTCAGTCTGGACTCTGGACCAAAGTGGTGGACCAGTTGACAGCCCAACCAACCACAGACTAACTTTGCCATCCCTAGAGCCTAGCACATTTAAAAATGACAGAAAGCACAGATTAGACGTTCCGGTTGCGTTCAGCACTTTTGTTGACTGTACTGTACAATGCAGCTGGATCCTCCACAGTTTCCTGACTTCTGGTCCTGAGAAAAAAAGATAAAGATATAGTATTAACTCAAACTGCTGTGAAAATATTGTGAGCCAGGTTCAGGTGTGATGAAGACGTTTCAAGAGACTGATGAAGGCTTACACAGCATGGTTTAATGAGACTCGGCCGAGGAGATGCAGTGCCGGCACACAACATGTGAACACATGAAATGCCAACACCAAATCTGAAGGCTACTTCCTGTCTGATATTTATCCTTCCTAGACCTACACAGATTCACTAAGTGTCCAAATAAGTGTCCTTTTCTACATAGCCAGTCAGTCTGTAATGAACAACATAAAGATAATCTTGACCTTGGGTTACCTAACAGATGTATAACAGTGCATCCTTATCAACTCAGCTGCATCAGTCAGCCGACAAGCAGGCAGAGAGGAGAGACAGAGTCTGGCCTACAGTTTTGGAGAGGCCCTGGCTGTCACCTTTGGCTTCCTTTAGCTCAGTAATTGACCCTATCATGACCTGCGGAAACCTGGGTCATAGTACCCTTAAATTCCTTCACAAATACAAACAGTGATATGAAAATGTAAAGAAAACAAGCAAATGCAACAGGAATGAAAGTGTTAAAATGAAATACTTGATCATCAGCTCCATTAACTGCATGCCATGTTGAGGTTTTAGTGAGGATAATGTTCCTGTGAGAGGAGCTGCTCACCTTGGGGCAGTACTGGCACTGTTAAATTGGACAGCAGCGTACTCAACAACTTCCTCCTCCTCCTCTTCCTTGTGTCTTCGGGGGACAGCTGGTATGATGTTGGAGTAGACAGCATCTGTCTGGTTATTGGAGAAGTGGAAACTGGCATAATGAAGGTCATCCTGTTCCCTGTCGTCTGGTCTATCTCCAGGCTCAGATGATTGCTTGGAGGATCTCTTTTTCCTGGTTAGAATGAATTAAAAACCAAGGAAATAATAATTCATCTGCCAACCTGGCTGCTAACAAGACTCTGGTATTCAATGTAAAATGCATCAGTAAAACAAATCTACTCACCCTATCAGTAGGAGGACAGAGAGCCATATGATAGCCAGGAAAACAGCAGATGTTGTTCCAAAGACTGCTGATTTCCATACTCCTGGGAACACTGGAATAAGACAAAATGACTCATTTGAGTGTGTTCAGATGTTTGGCCACATAGCGTGATATAACAAAAATATTTTTCTTTGCACATGTATTATGTATGTTCTTTTGAAATAGTAGAAGATCTTTTGCCATCCTAAGAGACTCATTAAATTGTATGAACGTCCTCCTTTGGGATACCCAAGCTCCCCCTGGCCAGCAGGAAGATTTAACCTCTGTGGTGTGTCCAGGGTCTGTCCTATGACCTTCTCTCAGTCACATGTGCATGGCTAAATCTGGTTCGACGCCCTGGCATCATCTTAAATTTCTCCTCTAAATGAAAATCTGCATTGGCTAAATATCGAGGCTGTCATTGTAAAGCGAGCTCATTTTGAATCAATGACTTTAGCTCTGCTCTGAAAAATTAGTGCGAACAAAGCTGCAGTATTTTTCTGACTTGAAATTCACTTTGCCTGTTTGTTTGGAATTTTAGTGCAAATCACATTAATAATATATTTATATATATATTAAAAATATTTAGTGCAGGTGAGGTGCAAACAACTGGGAGTTTTAAATAAGGCAGTGCAAAGCTCAGTTACTCTGAACTGTATTCCACTTCACCCAACCCCACAGAGGGAAGCTTTGGAGCATCTAGTAAGGAATTAAACATTATGTATTGAGACATACTCCACTCGCATGTATGATTTAGAATTACTCTTGGATCATGAAATAAAAAGGTGAACTTACACTGAACATCTATAGATAGAGATGTAGAGTTTATCTGCCCATATTTGTTTTCAGACTTGCAGAAGTAGATTCCTCTGTCCTCGGAGCTGATGGAGGTGAAATAATAACTTCCTTCTGGTCCTTGATGCAGAGTTTGGTTCTCCTTGTACCAGGTGTATTTAGCTGCTGGGTTAGCATCACTGCTGCAGGTCAGAGTCACTGAACTGCCCTCCACTATCTCAGCAGAGGGACTCACTGACACAGAGGGAAGCTTTGGAGCATCTGTATTACATGAATATAGATTATCATAAGTTGATGCATATTTGGCAGGATGTGGAAAGTTGATCGTGTCTAAATGTACTGAAGCTGCTCAGTGAATTACAGCAGAAAACTTGAAGGAGGCAGGTAAAATCTTTTCGTTGTCGAGTTAAAAGGATACTCCAGAGATTTAGTTTTGCACTTCCACAAAGTTGGGGGACTCACGAGAAACAGATTTAAATAATTTATCAAACTGAAGCAGTAGAGGATGAAATATCCTGACCTGTATTCCATAATATGGGTCAAACTCCCCAAAACACTGAATGTCCACTTTTTTCAAAGAAAGCCCAGTTTGTACTGCAGCCTTCTTATTGAAAAGTCTAAAGCCCAAGCTGAAAAAATCAAAGTATGTGACATATACTTCTCAAAAACATTAAGGGAACACTTAAATCAAACATCAGATCTTGAAGTTCTAAATATTTACTGTACACTGTATAATTTGTTGAGAACAAAATTATTATTATTAACAGTCAGTGGAAACCAAAATCACCTACTGAATGAGGACTGGACACATTGAAAAGTTAAAAGTTAAAAAATTAAACTGTTAAACTGCAACTCATGATGTGACTCAGTAGTATGTATGGCCCAAGGGGCTGTATGCACTCCTGACAACGTCTCAGCAGTGCTCCTCCTGGTCCTCCTCGCACAAAGAAGCAGTTCTGGCCCTGCTGCCGGGTTGATGTCCCGTCTACGGTGTCCAGCTCTCCTCGTGCAATTATCGGTCTCCTTGTATCTCCTCCATTCTTTTAAGCCTGTGCTGGGAGACGCAGCAAACCTTCTTGCTGTGGCACATATGGATGTGCCACCCTGGAGGAGCTGGACTACCTGTGCAACTTGAATGGGCTGCAGATATTGCGTCATGCAACCAGTGTGACGAGGACGCTAACAAAATGCAAAACTAAAGAACAATCAGTCAGGAAGGGTAAGGAGAGAACAACTGTCTGCGGCCACCACGTGCAAAACCATTCATTTTTTGGGGGGTTGTCTTGCTGTTGCCGCTCCAAAAACAGGTGATTCACAATTACTTATTCTCCTAACTGGACAGAATGATATCCCAGAAGTTCACTTGACATGATGTTATACTGTGATGATATTTTTAGAGTGTATTTAATCTCTCAATAGCATTAAACCTGTGTTTCACTCACATTTCACATTAATAAAGATGTATTCAGATGTCCTCCTCCCCAGCTGGTTCTCAGCTGCACAGTAATACTCTCCAGAGTCAGAGGTCTGGATGGAGCTGAAGACAAGCTGTGATTCTTTACTGAGGTCTTCATGGTCTGGATTTTTAGTCCTCTTGTACCAGATATAGTTAGCTGCTGGCTTAGCATCACAGCTACAAGTCAGATTTACTGAACTGCCCTCCACTAAATCACCAGAGGGACTCGCTGACACGAAGGGAAACTTTGGAGCATCTGCAGGAGATATTAACATACATTAACTTTAAAATGTTTTTGTAAAACAGTCTTTTGTTGTTGATAGTTCAATCCTAAAGAGAATCATTTATTCAGGAAGAAATTAAAGAAAGAAAAACAGATTACATTTCCTTTTTTTTTAGATGTTTGATTATTGCTGCTGTCCAGAGTTGCTGTGGTCACAAAAATTCTGAAGACTTTGTGTTTCTTCTGGTGTTTCCTGAACCAATTACACACCTTTATAGTAAAAGCTGATTTCCTTTTTTTCTTTTATATTTACTAACTATTTGCTAATAATTATTTTGGGGGGAAAGTATCCCTCATTCAAATTGTTGTGGAACTAGTGCTTAAAAATTAAAACAAAAAGCTTGAGTGAACTAAACTGCACAAACACACACACAATTACTGTCACCCATTAAAGACACATATATTCATGATACAGCATTAGTTACACTACTCCACCAGATGGTGTCATGTCAGTGGAAGACTGGATGTAAACTCACACACTGAAGGAGAGCGGGACTTCTCATATCCTCGTACAGCACAGGAAAAGCTGCCTGCAGGATCAAAGGGGCCTGAATATGTAGATGTTTCTTCCTGAATTTTCTGTCCGTTCTTGTACCAGATGTAGGAAGGATGGCCAGGTAGACGACAGCTGCTGTGACACTTCAGCTCTGCCCAGGGAGAATACTTTGATCTGCTCACCTGCACCTGCAGATCTGAATACATGAATAACAGAAATCTTCATTTCTAACTGTCAACACATACAAGCACACAGATGCAAGTAACCTTCATAAGATGTTGAACACATGAAACTAAACTGATAAATATTCAGATGAAAATGTTACCTGTGACAGACAGAGTGACTCCAGGTGAACCAGTATATTTCCCACTTTCTTGGTTTGTTATGAACCTGAACTTGTACTCAGCTGAGTCGCTCTCTCTCAGGTCTGTGATTCTCAGAGTGCAGCGTTTGTTCTGACAAATATACTCCACACGACCTGAATACTCTGGGTCCGTTTTCAGATCCACTTGAACATTATTACCCTCTTTCGTAAACCAGAATGTTTTCTCAACTTTGGTATCATGATTATTTAAGCTGGATGGATATGTGTAGGTACATTTATGTCCACTGTTGATCCTTTTAAGGCACAGATCTGAGTTGGAGTGTAAGTCACTCCCCAGCCATTCTGACTCTGTACCACTGAAAAACAGATGACATCAGAAACCAAAATCAGATTCAAAACATCAGAGAACAAACTTATTTTCATATATTTATTTTTGTAAAACTTAACTGAACTACTGCACATGTACAAAACTGCGTTGGGAGTCAAACCCTTTGCCATGGAGAATTAACAGTCTACAGGTTTTCATGTCATTTTAAAGACTTTTAGAGGCAGAGGGGAGAAAACCTGTAGACTGTCGGCTCTCCATGGCACAAGACTGGACAACTTGTGTAGGTTCTATGTAATATCCTGTAAGACAAAGAGGATCAAGGTACCAGCGTGTTTTTGGGAACAGCTATCCTGGATAAGCAGTGTCACAAAAACGTATCTCTGTAACTAGAACTGAAAAAGAATAACGTATTTTATCAGGTGTTTCAGTTTTTATTGATACAATAGGAATATTTATCAATGTTGGTGCTACAGCTTCGGTCCATTCATTTAAGACATAGAAAAGGACATTAGGGGGGAATCGGAGGAGCATTTATTTACTTTTTGCTCACTAAAACCTTGTATTAAATATTTGTTGGAGATCATACACCCTAACTCTGAAGTCTCATGGAGGGGATGATGGCACAGACGTAACTATTGTTGACTAGCTGTCAGTTTTTAAAGATCAAGTCATCAAATCCGTCTAATTTAAAAAATAAATTCACTTTGTGGTATGGCTGCTGACTGAAGGCCTTCCCCATAACATCAGATATAGCTGATAACTGATCCAGGGTCCCTGTGTGTGCAGGGGGAATTTAAAAAAGCATCATCAATGGAGATCTGATGGACGATTCACCATGGCAACAGGTAAACAAGCCTCTATTTTAACCCAGTGATGCTCAAAACGTGGACCATGATATTTCTCTTAAATCACAGGATGAAAGGAGTCACTTAGTTAACAATAATACATTTTATTCAGTGTAGTCTGCTCATTCATCATTTACCAGACGTAAATTTCTGTAATGTTGCATTGGATTTTAATTATATTTATTCACCTGTAACCTGACAGGGACAAAATACCACTGGCAATAACTGAAGATGAAAATATAGATAAGACACAGTTTAGTCATGGACCTATGATTAGTCCGACCCAGTAATAATAATTTTGGTCATTTGCATTTGAAAATGTGTCTCTGTTCAAACTGACTGTAAAGTTTTAGACGTCCAGCCTATTTTATGTAAAAAAATTATGCTCATTTCACATTTAGATACAATGCTTCTATGGGTGGAGCCTGATTCGAAGCTTCGCAGCGAAACATGCAATTTTGTCTATATGTTAGTGTCAACGTTTAATTTTACATAGAACCACCAGTTTTCTGACAATAAGTTAATATACAGCCAATTACAATATACATTTCAATGTTTGATGCTTTAACTAAACATGTGTAAAGAAAAACACTTTCAATAAATGTTTTTAAAGTGCGTAAATAAATCCAAAATTGTAACCCTGGGTCGTCATGTGTAGGCGTAGCTTGTATGTGTGCGGTGGCAGAAGAGGAAAAGATGGAGCCCCAGCTTCACCGGTGTTGTGCCGAGTTGTCGCGGGACTTTTGGATAATTTATCACCGTTGATGAACCACACAAAGAATATTATATCGTTTTTAGACCCAGCTTTTACGTGCAGCACGGCATGCACGTAAAACTCTGCACAAGACCGGTGAATGGCAGGAGGGAGGGAGGGAGAGAGAGGGGGAGAGAGAGAGGTCAAAAATAAGCCTCAGTTTAGCTTTAGGGACAGCCCTAAACATGACAAATAATTGTTCATTGATCAGTTAGGCTACAGGCATATAGATTAGTTTGATTGAAACAGTGATTACTGCAGTAGTGTAGGCCACTAAATGTTTCAGTGTAACTGTTGCTGCCTTAATGTCCACAGAGTCACAGTGATACACAGAAGGACAGAGTAGCCCGTATAGATTTTATCTGTGCTGAGGATGAATCCACAATGTCGCTGTCTCAGTCCTTACATTGATGACAGATTGATCATGTTGAAGATCATGTTTGGGTACGGAACCTATATCTAACTGGGACTTTGATGTTTGCAAAAACTTCTGCAAAGGAATGTTTTCAGTTTGTGCTTTGGTATCGACAGTATGAATGAGGAAATGAAACGCTGCGTCAGACCGCCGCTTCAGGCTCCGCAGGAGGGGAAGAGTCAGAGAAACTCAGCATTTGTTGAAGAAAACCTTCTCCCGAGCAGGCTAGCTTTACAGCATAAATTGCTGGAGTTACTGATCTCAGTCTCTTCTGATAACCCAGAGTTTCCCTCATCTAAGGCTTAACATACTTCTAGTAATCCTGCTTTCTGAAACTGGCCATGGACTACAGAAAATTATGACAGATTATCAAATCAAAATTATTTAATGTGTGTAATGAGGCAGAAATGCATAGTTAAATGTAAAGAGGAGACAAAATAAATGCCATAATAAAGAGGGTAGAAAATGCAAAGGAAGAATAATAAACATATTAACAAAAATATTAAAATTAAAAAATACATTTGAAAAACAATTAAGTTGAAGATTATAAAGGGCAATAAATAAATAAGGTAATTAATACAAAGGTGAATAAATACATAGAAATAGTGTTTTAAGTGAGACTCCCAGTAAACATGGAGACCACCTGAGTAAATCTTTATAAATTGCATCATAAATTAGTATTTTAGTGTATTTTCCTTTATCACATATTTAATAATTATGAGTAATTCAAGGGTATATCACAATGAATTTAAAAATTGATTTGCCTTATCCGTACACAACACACACACACACAGATTATATGTGAAAAATCCAATTAAATCCACAAACCACTATGTGCTACTAAACCAGATACAGACATTTAACATCCAAGTAGAAGCACTGAGTCCAAAAGCTAATGTTGGTGTTGCAGTCAGAGTTTTAAGGTGTTTTAAATTATCACACTGCATAAAACAGGTCAAATATAGGAATATGGAGATCTCAGAATGAATAATTTAATTAAATGTTCTTTCTTATAATCACTTCAGGTTGCTCTGACTAAATGTAAATACATAAATGTAGATATACAGCACCTGGTACAGTCAGGAGAAGGACGACAAATCCTCTCGCTGCTGCTGTTAACCTCATATCTGCTCCTCGCGTCTCGCTGTGTGACTTCAGAGACATTAAAAGATGTCTGCAGCTAAATAATGTCCACAGAAGTAAATCATTCACATCAAAAACACTTCTACCTAACATGAAAGGAAGTTATCTTGAAAAGACAACGTTACTCTGTAAAATCCTCCCAACTTCCTTCCTCTTTACATCATTTACATGAATAATGAACCAAATATACAAGTAGACTTAAGATCACACTAAAAAGTAACTTGCTTTGTTGTTTTTGCAAACTATGAACTTTCTGTCTATCTATTTAAGAGAGTGTAACAAACTAGTTTTGAGGCACTTCAGAACATCCAACAAACAACAAAGACCATCTAAGGAAATCTTATCGTAAATGTGGTCATAGTTTAGGGTCTGTCAGTGATGCTAAACTAAACAGGAACAGAAGGAAACAGTTTGATGCATCGCTTGGATGCACACCATGGGTTCAAATTGTTGTGCTGCATCAGTGTGGAAAAAAGTAACATGTTGCAGTCTTATTGATAGTATAAGACCTATTTTTCAAAAAAAAAAGTTACATGAAAAGACTAAATGTTACAAAAAGTCAGACAAATTATATTTACAGGTGAATGCAGTCAAATACTTTACATATTCTAAAAACAAAGTAAGTTTCTCTAGGGCATATAATTCATTTGTAAAGTCTTGGAGAGGCATATCCCAAGAAAAATATTAACTAAAAGAAAGAACTAAAAAAGAAACAGAATTATCATAAATGCAATATATGTTTTGGTCGTTGACTGTGCTGTACAATGCAGATGGATCCTCTCCAGGTTCCTGACCTCTGGATCTGAAAAAAAAGAAGATATTGTTTGGAAAAATATAATTACCATCACATCCCAACAGTGTTTTAGAGTTTAAAATATAAAAAACAGGGGAAATGACAAATCAACACATTTATTTCATTTGTTATGTCATCTGAATCTTGCAGTGAGTAGTGTTGTAGTACTCGAGACCAAGACCGGTCTCGAGTACTACAACACTACTCAAATCCACTCGCTGCTGCAGTTAAACTCATAGCTGCTCCTCTCATCTCTCTGTGTGGCTTCAGAGACAATAAAACATGTCAGCAGATAAAATAATGTACACAGGAGATATACAGTATCAGTCACATCAATAAACAATTGTACTTACAATGAAGAAGGACGCTGTCTTTAAAGAAGCCTTCCTCTGTGGTCAGTAAGCAGAAGATAGATATCAGGCTGTTAAACGACTACATTTCCTTCCTCTTTAGATTATTAATATTCACAAGCTTACTGCCAGTTAACATAAATATCACAATAAAGATGTAACATTTTGTTAATTATAAACATAATAAGACAGACTAAGAAAGTAGTGTTATGGCCTGTTGGTATTAAACCTGTTTCACTGTAAAAATCCCAGATACAACACATTTTTAAACTCTCCCTATTTTAAGCACCAAAAACAAGACAGGTGTAAAAGTTGGTTTGATGCATCACTTGACACTTTCAAGTGCATCTTTAGACAGTGAAAAATTACCTTTATACCAGTTTAAGTTCAAAGACATTTGACTACAGAGTTGTCACACTGGACCGTCACTTGTTGTGGAAGCTGGCTGTTACTTTACAAATAATATAACACACACATTAGAGGAAGTTTACAGAAACATTGACAAGCTTCCCGCCATCAATATCTGGTCCGCTGCCAGATTCTGGTGCTTTGATGGCGGCAATAAAAATATAAATAAATAAAGCTTTGATAGCTGCCAAAATAGATCTCGTTCATGACAGCAACAGTTACTCAAATAATCACTTCCTCTTTAGTGGTTTCACCTACAAAATAAAAGCACAAGAGCCTTGTTTACTGCAATTCAGTTTTGGGGCTTTTACTTTGAAAAATTCGGGATATTTATATATGATATGATATTCGGACTCCATATTTGTATAGCACCTTTCTAGTCTTTTTGACCACTCAAAGTGCTTTTACACAACATCTGCATCCATCATTGACTCACATTTATACACTGAGCCTAAGTGCTCAAACAGAAACTAACATTCAGAGCCTGGAGGAGCCAGGGATTTAACAGGCAACCCACTCCAACTCCTGAGCCACAGCTGCCTTAGAAAAGAAGGAAATTAGAAGGAAGCCAACCAAAAAACTGCATAGACTATATATACATTAGCTGAGATAAGAGAATTGTGAAGGTATTTATGCCAAACTCCCTCACTTACTTACAGACACTGTGGAGCAGCCTCAGCCTTACTTTTACTGTTATTAATGCACCGGTTTACTTTTATTTTGACTTACTGATGTTGGATATCACTGTAACTACTACTCCTGACCTAACAGTAGAGTCATACTCACAAAACATGTAGCTCCTAACTAGCTGAGTTTTATGAATCTCCATAAAAAATACGGGGTGTTTAAGTCCTAACTGTAAGACTCAATTTTTAGAGTAAACAAAGAAGTTTAGCTCTGAAAGTAGCTCCTAGGTCTGAGAGGCTTAACTTCCTCTGGTGCACTAACAGTTACTTCAGGTACATTTTGGTGTCTCCAGGAAGAGGTTTGGCAGGATGGAGAGTTGTTAGAGAGCAGAGATAAAAGGTCACTGAATGCTGAACTTTCAAAAAGACTGTAAAAAAACATGTTACACAAATAATATTCAAGTTAATGCTTTAAGTCATAAAATACTTTACACATTCTTTAAAGCTGCACATGCAGAGTAAAAATCTAAGCTGAACACTGGTTACATTTACTCATTTAGCTGACGCTTTTATCCAAAGCAACTTACAATTGCTAAATATGTCAGAGGTCACACGCCTCTGGAGCAACTAGGGGTTAAGTGTCTTGCTCAGGGACACATTCGTGGATTTGTCGTAGTGGGAATCTAAAGGCATGTGTCTTATCCACTGCTCCATATCTGCTTAAATACAAAGTTTATAAAGAAACATAGAAATATCAGAAATGTAATATCTGTTGTGTTCATGAGGTTTTGTTGACGGTGCTGTACAATGCAGCTGAAGCCTCTTCAGTTTCCTGACCTCTGGATCTGAGAAAAAATAAGATATTTGAAATAATATAATTACCATCATATCCCAACAGTGATAATTAAAATGTAAAAAATAGAGCAGGAAAATGCAAAAACAACATATTTATTTCACAGTTATGTCATTTTAATCTTGTAGTGAGGATAATGTGAGAAGAGCTGCTCACCTCGGGGCAGTATTACTCTTAAATGTGACAACAGCGTACTCCATGAAATCTTGCTGCTCCGTGTGTCTGAGGGAGCGAGCTGGTCTGATGTCGGAGTAGAGAGGATCTGCCTGGTTGTTGGTGAAGTGAATGCTGGTATACTGAAGGTTATCCTGCTCCTCTGGCTGTCCCTGATCAGGTAGAAACTGCACAGACATATTTTACATGAGTAGGTTTTTCATTTGAATAGTGAATTCTTACAGATGATTGCAGCCAGGACAGAAAAGACTGAAGCAACATATAAAATTATAAAAATGCAAATATCCCCGCTTCACCGTGCATTACAGAAAAGAGCTAAGTAAAGGAATTTACAAGGAAAGGACAAAAAGTAGGAAAGCTTCTGGATCTACTAGGAATTTAGTCACATCCATTAGAAATTCATTGCTGTGAAGAAGGACGTCAAAAGAGAAACATGCAGTCCTTCTCAGTCAGATTCATTTTCTAGAAGCACTTGAAGAGTGAGTGACTTTTGTTCTTGAATAAGGTCCGTGACTATTCTCACCTGTTCCCTGTTGTCTCGTCTCTCTTCAGGCTCAGACGATTCCTTGGAAGCCCTCTTTTTCCTGGTTAGGAGAATTAATAAGAAAATAAATGACTGAACGTTTTAGGTTGGACAAACTGACCTTCAGTGATTTAACATTCAATGATTCAGTGAAACAGAGCTGCTCACCTGATCCACAGGAAGAGACAGAGGGAAATGATAACCAGGAGAACAACAGTGATTGTTGTAGCAACTGTTAATTTCCCTGCTCCTGAGAAATGGGGAACAGAAGAAAACACAGACAGTAAATTAGAGTGTTACAGCATGTTTGGACCCATTGCTCCCATAGAGTAACACTGCTTTCCAAACACCAATCAGAGTAAACCAAATTATTACCAATGTAAAGAAACTGATTTGGAGCGTTACAAAGAAGAAACTAAAAGCCAAAGTAGATTAGAATGTTCTCTCTAAAAAGAGATTATTATCTCTCTACTGTCAGAGATAGAAAGCAGAGACAGATCCAACCAAGTACAGTGCATTTGTGTTTACTGTATTAATGCAAAAACACAAAAAGAGTCTGTAGAGTTTTGTAAGAATTGTTTGCTTTTGCAAGGGATGTATAATGTTTTGTTTTATTGGTGTAAGATTTTGTGATTAGTGTGTAGAGGTTTTCAAAAATAGCCACTAGTTTGAAAAATTGTGTTAGAAAACACTGTAATGTCCCCAGCTGAGGTCCACAATTTCCTGCACTCACTGAGAACATACAAGCTGATACATTTCAGAGTGTGTGCAGCTCAATGCAAAAACGTACCTGCCACAACAATCAGATGTAAGGTGGAGTTATGACGTCCTCTTCTGTTCTGGGCTTCACAGTAATAATTCCCACTGTGTTCAGCTCTGAAGTCAGTGATGGTGAAGTTCTGTCCTGATGCTTTTGGTGAGTCTTCATTCTCCTTGTACCAGGTGTATTTAGCTGCTGGGTTAGCATCACTGCTGCAGGTCAGAGTCACTGAACTGCCCTCCACTATCTCAGCAGAGGGACTCACTGACACAGAGGGAAGCTTTGGAGCATCTGGAAAATATAAATAAATAAACAAAAATGAGGATAGATTTCTTTGGTGCTACATGTTGTATTGAAATGAGTAATAGTTATGTGTTTGTACGCTGTTTTTATTTTCTATTTTACCCTTTTAAAAAATTATATTTTAATGTGTTTTCTTTTTCCTTATGTGTGTGGAAGCATCTGAAACTTTGGAGGTGACTTTTTTTTTGGAGGTGGGTTTGTGACTGGCAGCAGACAGAGCTGTGTGTTTGGGCCACTTGAGTTATTCTAAAATCTAAGCCTGTGTTCACACTGAAAGTGAATCCAGTGTTTTGGGAGGCTTGATTAAATACAAAGTCAATGCAAAGATGCAAATTCACTCTGGGCGGTGCGGAAGATGCATTTGTTGCGACTTTAGCTGGGTCGCACGAGTTCAAAATTTTTAACTTGAGCGAGAAATTCATTGGATGCTATGTTGCGAAAGCCTATCAGTGTGAGATTGTCCGGCATTGTTTGAAGAGGACCAGGGAGAGCGGGGAATCAAAATGCCGCTGGCTGACGAACGGGGAAGTGTACGGGGAGCAGCGCTGCAGTTTTTGGACAAATAAACACACGTAATTGGACTGGATTATGCTCTGACAACAACGCTGTTTACTCGCGGGAGAAGCTCAGACTTAACTGCTTTTATTAAATTTGCTTTTTAACTTTAGTTTTTGGGAATACAACGTTGATTCATCTTCACTGGAGTTTTTCGGCAGCTAGTGTCTAGCATCTGGTTCCACTGTTGTTGTTAGCGTCGACTGGCTCCCAGAGCTCTGCTAGACTTCATATTTATATAAAAACCGGACAAAACTGAACATTACTTGGAGAAAAGAAAGCGAGGAAGTTGAACTACCTGGTGAGTTCAGAAAATGTGTGTCTGTAACTTTATTCCAGGTATCGTTGTACTTTATTGTGAACAAGTTAGCATAGCATAGCCCAGCTCAAACCGAACTCCATTCAGAAAACCAACATTTTAAAAGTTGTTGTCCTGCTGTCCTGCTGACAGACCTGGCAAAGCATGAATTCATTTGTTGAACAAATCGGCATCATATTGTAGTTATTTCGGCATCAGTTTGATCCATTTATTGCAATTAAATCACAGCAAAATGTTTACTTTGCGTTCATTTAGCTGTAGAATTTGCGGGTTGTGTTTATTTGTTTATCGCGTTGTGTGCGAACACTAAGTAGTTGTTCACCTGCGTGAGATTAAATTTGCGTCGTATGAGAACACTGTCATGATTGGCGGAGTGAAGGCGGAGGTGTGGACCCAAATGCAGACGTAGGTGAGGAGGATGCAGTTCAAACAAAGATTTATTTACAAAAAGACAAACAGGCTAACGTTGGGAGCTCAGCGGCAAATGTTCAAACAAAAGGGAACTCCAACTCCAAACAAAACATAATCCAAAGGGAAGAATCCGTGAACAAAGTACAAACCAATTAAGTAATCCAAAAGGGCAGGGAAGGCACAGAACACTCAACACGGACGACGCAGATAATGCAGACAATACAGACAATACAAGGACGTGACAAAGACTGAAGAAAACTTTGGACAATGTACACACACACACACACACACACACACAGGTAAACGAGCAGGGACGGAAGCACAGCTGAGATACATCAGGTAATCAGACAAAGCTAGACAAGGACACCAGGTACAGAAGGTTACCGAAATAAACAGGAAGTAAAGTTCACAGGAACACACAAGAACAGATCTACCAAAGTAAAATGCAAAAACATGGAAAGACAACAAAATCAGGACAGCACAGGACCAAGAACTAAGATGAGAGATAAGACAGTTACAAAGAAAACTTAAAGCGAATGAGCCAAAATGATAAACTAGACTACAAAACTCCAAACCATGACAATATCAAGTAAACACAGGAAAAACAACAGCACGAAACCAAATCCTAACAAACACAGCATAATAGGAGGGCAAGAAGAATGTCCTTCATACATTTTTTATGAGTAAACGCAAAAATGTTGAAATGTGCTGTAAATACTGGAATTGTGTCCCTGATTAACTTTCTATTAGCAGAGTTGGGTCTATATACTTATTGATATTATAGTCCTGGTTAGCACAAGCTAAGAAATCTATGTACTTTATATTTCCTTTATGTTTTGACATGTATAATTTCATGGTCAAAATTGCTATTTCAGAAAACAACATTAAATTGTTTTCATTTTTCTGCAGATGGCTGATATTTGTACTGTAATTTAACTGTGTGGGGGTTAAAAAAGTTAGCCCTTCCTACAATCCAAAAAATGTTGCCACCTAATAAAAATCCAGTCAGCAATTTTGTTTCTAGCAAAATGTATTTAGCAAAACAAAATACTACACAATAACTTACTCTCTCACCAGCCACTGTAGCTAGTGGTTTTTCCAAAGTTACTAGTTACTACTACTACTACTACTACAAACGGAGAATTAAAACGAATATGATCTCCGTCCACACCCGCGTTTCCGCTGCATTTTGGAGTTGATCTCCGTCTACATTAAAACGACTGAAAACGCACAGCTAGGACCCGTTCAGGTGCACTGGGCATGCGCGTGCCAGTGTAAACATAAAGCCGATGGTCTATTCTGTAGTTACAGCAGATTTAGCGAAAGAATAAATAAATACAGACTAAGTATCATACCAGTTTTTTTTTGTTGCATAGATCAAAAATGAGCTGGGACTGTTACTGAATGTAACACGGGAGTGTGGCGTCAGAAAACAGACTGGGAGCGACGTGCACAGTACAAGTGTAGGCAGATGAGACAGAATACAGAATATTTTGATAAAAATATGTCAAAAACCCAGTCAGCAGCATCGTTTTTCTGCTTTGCAAGACCCAATCAGAGAGCCGAGCATGTTTCTAAAGTCCTCCAATTTGGCCCGTCTTCACTAAAACGCCCTCCAGAGTTTTGAATCGCAAAACGGGGTCGGCAGCGTTTCCGAACTTCTCCGTTTTAGGTCTTCGTTTTCATCGTTGTAGTCTGGATGGGAGGTGCAAACGTAGCAAAAGGTCTCCATTTTAATTTGAAAACGCAGTAGTGTGGATGGGGCCTGAGAGGATGAAGGTTTGGATATCCATTCTCGTTGTGGCAGGTATAATTAGCTGCTGGGTTAGCATCATTGCTACAGGTCAGAGTGACTGATTTGCCCTCCACTATCTCAGCAGAGAGACTCGCTGACACAGAGGGAAGCTTTGGAGCATCTGGAAAAGATCAATTAAATGAACAAAAATGAGGATAGATTTCTTTGTGTTGAAATGAGTAATAGTTATGTGTGTGGAAGCATCTGAAACTTTGGAGATGGCTTTGTGACTGGCAGCAGACAGAGCTGTGTGTTGGGACCACTTTTTTACTCATTAAAATTGAAGAGACTGAGAGACAACATGACACAAACTTGCTGAAATGTGTTCTAAATACTGCAATGATGGCCCTGGCTGACTATCAATGAGCAGAGTTGGCCCTTCCTACAATCCAAAAAATGTTGCCACCTAACAAAATCCAGGCTAGCAAAATGTATTTAGCAAAACAAAACAATAAACATTAACTTTTTTCCCTCACCAGCCAGTGTATCCAGTGGTTTTATAGCCAAAATGTGTGGGAGCATCTGAAACTTTAGAGGTGGTTTTCTGGTAGGGCCACGGAGTGACTGGTGCTCCTGGTGGCCAGTCCGACTATGTTTGGAACGATTAGCTACAAGTTCGCAACGTGGTGCGCGGGGGATTATGATCGATTGTGGTCTTTACTTGCGCACTGTGCTCATGAATAAGGGTCATAAGCGAGTGAAATGGTCCCACTGTAGAACCCTGTGTGTGGGCGAGGATAATGAGAAAACTGCAGTGCAAAAAGAGAGACGAAGTGTCACACACAGCACACTTTTTTGTTAAATCGCACCCCTTGCGATCATGTAATCTTCACACTGGGCTGCTGGTGTGACAGGAGTGTGTGCGGCGTCAGGAACAGTGCTCTCAAGTGCTGGCTCAATTGAGTTGGAAGGTTTTTCAGGAGCCACAGGGGTTGGCGAAAGATGGCATCTGTTTCTTCGCAGAGCGCCCCCGGGCGTCTCAATGATGTAGGGCCTTGGCGTGCCGGCAGTAGACACCACAGTGCCTCTTTCCACTGTATCTTTGACCCACACATGATCACCGGGGTGAAGGTATGACATGTCTGTGTCTTCGGTCATAGATCTGTCGCAGTTTTTGTCTGTACTTTTGTTCTGTGCTTTTCAAGTTGTCCATGTCTACGCACCCTGGGTTGAGCTTGGATGGAATGACTGGAGATCTTATTTTCCTTCCCATCAGAAGCTCAGTGGGACTGTATCCATTTGCCAGGGGAGCAGCTCGATAGGCCATCAGGGCGAGATAAGCGTCGCTGGATTTCTTGAGGAGACTTTTGATTGTCCTCACAGCACGCTCAGCCTCCCCGTTGCTCTGTGGAAAATGGGGACTGGAGGTCTCATGACTAAAGCCCCAATCCTGTGCGAACTTTCTGAAGGTCTTGGATGCAAACTGTGGGCTGTTGTCTGAGTGGACCACTTCAGGTATACCATGACGAGCAAAGATAGACTTGAAGTGATCGATCACAGCTCCAGATGTTGTGGATGTCAGTTTGGCCACTTCAAAATATCTTGAGAAATAGTCCACAATGACCAGGTATTGTTTGTTTTCTATCTGGAACAAATCTGCTCCTACAGTAGACCATGTTCTTGGCAGGAACTCAGTAGGCATCATCGTTTTAGGTCTCATCGATTTATTCTCTCACGGCTACACACATCACATTTCTCTATCATTTGTGTCAGCACTCTGCTGAGGCCCGGCCACCACACTGAATGTTTAGCTCGCTCTCTGCATTTTGTTATTCCCAGGTGGCCCTCGTGCAGCTTGGACAGGATGTCTGCCCTGAGTGATGCTGGGATGACAATCCTGCTGCCACACAGTAGTAGCTCACCTGAAAATGGCAGATTGGGCTGGAACACTCTTTCAATGGAGAACTTGTCTGGCCATCCTTCGACACAGAATTTCTTCACCTGCTGGAGTGCGGCGTCGTCGTCCTGGTGTCTCTGAATTTCTCTTAACCTCTTTTCTGTAGCTGGGAGACTCGCTATGACAGAGTCAACATAGAGATTGATTTCCTCCTCCTGCAATCCTTCTGCAGTGTGGCTGACAGGAGCTCGGGACAGCACATCTGCAGCTGCAATGTCTTTGCCAGCCACATGTGATATGGTGTAGGCAAACCTCATTAGACGCATGCGTAGACGCTGTATGCGTGGAGGAAGTTCATCTAAGCTCTTTGAGCCTAGTAGAGGAATCAGGGGCTTGTGGTCGGTTTCCAACCCATTTACAGTGGGAATGCGTGACTAGAGACATGTGCATCAAAGAGTAATGGAACATGAGAGAAGTGGCCCTCATAGAGAATGTGCAGACGCCTACTTTTTAAGGATCAGCAAAGGAAATATAAGTTAGATGCTCAATGTAAATCAAATGTCTATCGCAAGGGAGCAGGTGCGTCAAAGATGACAGGTTATGGAACGTATCATTGTGTAGTGAACCAACCAGTGAACACTTAATTTTTTTTTTCCAAAAGAAAGAACACAGCATCTCCCCTTTGTCTTTCCCTAAGAACGGGGAAGTTATCACCCCTCAAGCAGAAAGCCTGACTCCAAACTGAAACACCCCAAAGGAGCTGTGGCGGTTTTGGGGGGGACCCAACAGGGGCCAGTGCCCCTGTAAAATAGACCTTGATCCCACTATGGCCCCCTCTGAATGAAAAATCTACAAATCATAGTAATATATCTCCCTTGCGACGATATGGTGCTGATGCGAAAGGCAGAAAAAATGTGTCTCAACTAATCGGATCCTTTAGGACGTTACACCGCCACTGGCCGGTGTCTTGCCAAGGTAGTTATCCCTGATAGAAAGTGTTCCCCTGACGAAAGTAAATGAAAAATTATGAAACATGTGGATTTTTTCTTTGTATTATTCAGTGCACTGAATTGAGAATGTCTAAACAAAACAAACAGTTTCAGCGTCCCTCGCAAAGCAAACATTTATTTTGCGATACTCTGACGATGTTATAACTGACCACGTAGTTGATCACTTTGTCATCCAAGTTACTGTTTGGAAGCTATACAGACAGACTTTTTCAAGCAAGCTGCTCCTACAAATATCCATCGAGACTGTAAAATCAAGATCACTGTAATCAGTTTGACACATTGATCACCTCAGCATTACATCTACTTTACTCGAAATCTATTTAAACTGAATGCAGCATTGTAGACAATATTTAGTCCTTGTAATCCATGTTTCCATTGCATGGATAGCCTTTGGATATTGCTGGAAATTGTTCTGAGTCGCCCTCCTTAAAGGGTAAATTATTATCATAACAATTTAATAATGCACTGCATTTAAACAACATATTTTATTATTCTTATATAACTTGCATTTGTTTATTTGTTTATTCCATATTTATATATTTCTACATTTATTTATGTTATGTTTGTGTACGAGTAGCACCTTATCACTAAAGCAAATTCCTCGTACGTGTAAAATACTACTTGGTAATAAAGCTCTTTCTGATTCTGATTCTTTTCACACAAAAAGCGATAGCAGTAGCCTACTGGTCCTACCAGGCTGGACATGCAGACTGCCAAAATATGTATCCCCGTCCACAACACAAAGATGACGGCCTACCATCAAGTATTTAATTTTGTGTATATTCACATCATGACTAATAACAGGGGTGAATATAGAGAAGTTTCTATTTTCCTGGCAAAAGTTGTAGTGGGATACAAATTGTTTCAGACTGTAATTTCAACCCACCATAAAATGCATACCCCTTTATAATGCACAGATGATGGCCTACTATCAAGTATTTAGTTTTAGGTATGACTAATAATAGGGGTGTATAAGCCACCAAGATGGTGGTGAGTATAGCGGCCTCGGTGTCAGGTGCGCTTTGTTTTGTTTTGGTTTTGGTGTTAATTCAGTTTTCCTTGCCGTGTACACCTACAGTGTTTTAACGTCATCACTTTGTTGGGCCGGTGAAAACCACATTGCCAGGGCCGAAATTGGTCCCAATCCGGACCTGGCTTCTTGTGACCAATTTAAAGTTTAAATCAAGTCTGTAGCTGAAAGTGTGCTGAACTAGTACCCTTACAGAGTTGAGTAGGGATGAGGAGGATTTAATCCTTCTCTCCATTCACTTACAAAGTGTTCCTGGAAAATCTTGAATACTTGATACTGGAAATTATTCAAGGTATCAATGAGAAAAGTACTACCCCTCTATTCATTGAGCTGAACTCAGCATTGACTCAGCGTTCACTCGAAATAAAACCGCCTTTAATCATCTGTTGTAGCTGATGTGAATGTGAAACAGGCAGAGCTGAAGAAAGTGCATGATCAGCAAAACATTTGACTGGATAATTAAGCTTTAAGAAGTTGTCATTAATTAAATTATGTGTTGTTCCTAAATTAGCTGCGTTTTACTCACATTTCACGTTAATAGAGACAAATCCAGATGTCCTCCCCAGATCATTCACAGCTGCACAGTAATACTCTCCAGAGTCAGAGGACTGGATGGAGCTGAAGACAAGCTGTGGTTCTTTACCCTGAGGATGAAGGTTTGGATATCCGTTCCTCTTGTACCAGGTGTATTTAGCTGCTGGGTTAGCATCACTGCTGCATGTCAGAGTCACTGAACTGCCCTCCACTATCTCAGCAGAGGGACTCACTGACACAGAGGGAAGCTTTGGAGCATCTGGAGGAGAAAACATGAACACTTTTAACATTTAATTTCAAGATGAGGTTGAGTTTTCACAGTGGAGCATTATTTCATTTCGGTGGTGCAGCTTGATTTCCTCGTGTATCAGAAACAGCATGGGTTTCTGTTACCATGGATACAAGTTGAACACTTTGATACAGTAAAGATACAAGAACAGATAATCAGGGAATTTCTCTGATGATGCACAAGTTTGATCTGATCCAGAGAATTTAAAAAGTCTAAAGACAAGATAACAAATCTTGTTTTAATACATTTTCATTGTGAGTTATTTTACAGTGAAGACAGAAGAAGAGTTAATTATGCAACATGTCTACAATCTCATGGGGAAATGATTTGGTTTTCATCCAGTTCTACAATGAATCACCAAATACCACTGAGTTACATGCAGTTAATGTGCAGTACAATAGGTTAAAGGCTCCACCAGATGGTGTCATGTCAGTGGAAGACTGGATGTAAACTCACACACTGAAGGAGAGCGGAACTCCTCATATCCTCCTACAGCACAGGAAAAACTGTCTGCAGGATCAAAGTAGGCTGAATAAGAATTAGATGTTTGTCCCCAAATGTTCTGTCCATTCTTGTACCAGACGTAGTAATGATGACCAGGTGAAAGACAACTGCTGTGACACTTCAGCTCTGCCCAGTTAGAAGACCCCTGAAATCTGCTCACCTGCACCTGGAGATCTGAATATGTGAATAAGGAACAAAAATCTTCACTTTAGACTGAACTGTCAACATAGAAACACAGTAACCTTCATAAGATGTTGAACATTTGGAACTAAATTAATAAATATTCAGATGAAAATGTTACCTGTGACAGACAGAGTGACTCCAGGTGAACCAGTATATTTCCCACCTGGTTGGTTTGTTATGAACCTGAACTTGTACTCAGCTGAGTCGCTCTCTCTCAGGTCTGTGATTCTCAGAGTGCAGTAGTTCATATCACAGTTATACTCCACACGACCTGAATACTCTGACTTTGTTTTCAGATCCACAGTATCATCACCTTTAAACCAGAATGTTTCCCCAGCAGTAATATAACGGTAACTGATTGTGGACGGGTATTTAATGGCGCAGTATATTTCCACAGTTGATCCTTTGAAGGCACAGATCTCAGTAGAAGTGTACGTCACTCCCCAGTCATACTGACTCTGTACCACTGGAACACAGAGCACATCAGACACAATCAACATTAACAACTTCATTTAACAATCAGACAAAGTGGATCAAACTACCAATATGGTTTGAGGGAAACGTAACCTGGACAAGCTTCAAAATCCTGAATTATCTGCAGTCATTGTCACAGAAAGTTTATAAGGTGTTTGTCATATTTTAATGTTGTGAAAAGTTGGGTTTCTGCTTGGGTCCATTCATTCAAAAAAATCTAAACAGAAATGCCTGAAAAGCTTATGTGTCAACACACAAGTAATCCAAACAGAAAATTAATAAAATTACATTTTACTCTCTTTTCTGGGATAGAGCATCAGAACAGTGGTACATAAAATACTCACAGATGTTCTGTATCATTCTTCTTCCAAGGCACTTCCTAACTCCTGTTCTAAATATTTAATGTTTTATAACCTTTTTTATGTTATTTCTGAATGAAACCAGGGTGAACAGAGAGAAGTCCAAACACAATGTCTTTGTTACAGTTTGTCTTTGTCTGTGTGTCACTGCTGCTTTCTCTACATGTGTTACACTGTGAGGCGGGGCATTGGCTGGTCTTTGGCAAGTCTGGCTGATCCCGCCTCCCACATCCGACGATCCTGATTGGAGCGGCGCACCAACCCTTCTCCAATCCCCGTGCCTGCAGGACCGCCTTCGTGCCTTCTCTCTCAAATAGGCTGGTCTGCTGCTGGTTTCAGGCAGCTACTTTTTGCCATGTAGTTTGCCCCGATGCTGGTCCTAAATTTGAACTCTGTGTGTGCGTGTCCTCAGTGGAAACAACCATTTCTGTGTTTGTTAGATCTGTGTGTTGCTGAGAGTTGGTAACTCACCTGGGCTGATCCCAGTATTTGGTCGACAGAATTGGGCTAGGGGAAGCTCATCACTGATCACTCACACCTGTTAGCAAATACTTGTTTTAGAGACACTAGGTTTAGGGGTGCTGCGCTCCCTGTGTTTTGCTTTTGAACAACGGCTAGAGAGGTATTTATTTATTCTTTTTCGAGTAGTTTAGTAATCCCTCATGTAGGAGGGATCTCTTTTTGTTATATTTGGATCTTTGTTTTACGCAGCACCCACTTGCCCATTTTCTGTTTGACCATTTTGTGTGTATCAGACTGTTTAATAAATAATCTTTCCACCCATACCAAATCCATCTGGTTTATGTTTACGTCTCTCCTACCCCTAGAGAGTGGGGGACGTAACAGTCTTGCTCAGTTATACACAGTCAGTGCAAAGGAAGATGTACACATGCTTTCTACAGTTCATCTCTATGTGCACTGAGGCAGGACATCATCCAGTCTGAAGGTGCAGTGAAGTGAACAGGAAAGTATCAGACCTGTGACCTTTAATGCAGTTTACTGACCGGGATAAGAGGAGAAATATAAATTCTTAGAGAGTCTGTGCTTTTCTTGGTCAGTTCTCTCTCTTCACTCTGCGGTCAGGTTGCTGCTGAGTTAAGTGTGAAAGCTAAAAATAAATGCAGCACACTGAGGTGTGGAGAGTTTCTAGCAGCTAAACATAAGATGCAGAAAACTGGTATCAAGATCTCTGACTTTAGCACCCGCTGAATGAGGGTAAATTGTTGGCAGACAGAGAAAACGTTCAACAGAAAGACACGTGTAGTAAGTTTAGTGTAGCCTATTATGGTGATCGGTACACACCCCTGCCTCACACACAAGACACACAGAGCAGTCAGCTCAGGTAATATCTGTGGCGGTGTTTGAACCAAACTCAGCAGTGGAAGAGGCCCAGTCCCTCCTGAGTGACAGCCGGTGAGCTTACCAGCAGCACCGGCCAGACAACAGGAGGGAACTCCGGTGTTGATGGAGAATCATAAGCTTGTCAATCAGAGACAAGAGACATCACTTGGTTTTATTTTCGTTGGCCAACTTTTGTATTGAAAGGAGTTTTTAGTTTGCTTGTTGGGATCCAGAAGAAGACGTTTTTATTGAGATAAGGACCCATTCATTGGTGGTTTAACTGAGTGTTGGGCTGCCTTTGAAATATCAGGCTGTTAGTGATTGTTAGGTTAAGTGAAATTAATGTCATGTACTTAAAGACATGCACAATGTTTTTTGTGTTTAAAATTTGAATGATAACATTATTTACATCACAGTATGCCTAAATGAGCAGAATGTTCATTTAGGTTATCTTGGTGCATTCCTAAATTGACAGATACAATTTCTGTGTGTTAGACAAAAATACCTGCTTGTCACAGTGGCAGGCAGTAAAGAAAGTTATTTTTGGACCTTGCTGCTGTCAACACAGAGCACAGAAACATCACACTGAGGTCAGACAGTACAAAAGGAACTAGCAGGAGTTGCAGATGAAGATATGAGAGAAGTTGTGTCAGTATGACTTCACTGTGTGAGACCAGTAGGCCTATCTCTCTAAAACCTTCACCGTGATAAAAGTAGCTTCAAATAGGAACTATTTGAAGTCTCTGTTTCCGGTTTACACTTTCTTGTCTAATTATACAAGTTGAATAATGGAACAAGCCGACGCTTTGGTGCGTTAAATTGCATTGCACGTCTTCATTCAATGCGACAATAACACAGCATAGTGCTAACATCGTTTAGGCAGCATCAGCTCTGGAAAAATGAACTCACACTGTTCAATATACATTTGCATTAGCGCAAGCAGGACAATGAAATTAGGAAATACCCCCTAAACTGTCTGTTTTCATCATAGTGTGAACAACTGATCCTGATACTTCATTCTGATCCACTTATTTTCACATCTGACCTTCAGCCTACTTTTACAAGACCTACATTTCCCAGATTCCCCTGTTTTAATGCAATAAATATAAGTTTAGATATTCAGTACCTGACACAGAGAGAAGGAAGACGACAAATCCACTCGCTGCTGCAGTTAAACTCATAGCTGCTCCTCTCATCTCTCTGTGTGGCTTCAGAGACAATAAAACATGTCAGCAGATAAAATAATGTACACAGGAGATATACAGTATCAGTCATATCAATAAACAATTCTACTTACAATGAAGAAGGACGCTGTCTTTAAAGAAGCCTTCCTCTGTGTCAGCAAGCAGAACACGGATATCAGGCTGTTAAACTACTAGATTTCCTTCCTCTTTAGATTATTAATATTCATGATGAGCCAAATGCCAGTTAACACCAACATCAAAATAAAGGAAACTAAGAACTTAATAAGAGAGAATAAGAAAATATTGTTATGCCCTGTTGGTATTAAACCTGTTTGCTGCTTCCTACTGACACAAGAAAAGAGAAAAGAGAACAGACAGGCGTGAAAGTTGGTTTCATGCATCACTAGAAAGGTCTAGTGCATCTTTAGACAGTGAAATAACCTTTATGAGTTCAAAGAGATGGACTGCAGCAGTATGGGGTGTAAAAAGTCACGTGCTGAGCTCAGTGTTTATTCAGTATTGAGAAACATGTAAGAAAAGTAGATCAGAAAATTAAACAGAAATCAGAATGTAAATAAAAACTTTTCACAATTAAATTTTGCAGCTCTCTCACTCACAGTCATTGTGACTCTGTGTCACTGTAACACAGAGCACATCTGACAAGATGCTGCTGGAGGTAAGACAGAAAATATGTCTTCTTGTAATTTGGGTGAAGTGATTCTTTGAAACAGACAGTGGAGGGAGCTCTCAGAGTGATTCAGCCTGAATGTGCCACAACAAAGGTTCACCACTAGAGGGCAGTGAAACATCACAGATACTGAAACAGGACGCTGAAACATTACTCAAACCAATGAATGGATTATCAAACTAGTTGACAACTAAAGGATTAATCATTGCAGCTCTAGACTGTGTGTTGCTTTCAGCCTGTCCACCCCATTATCCCCAGGTCAGATCTACCGGTGTGCATTTCTCTCTAACACCACAGTGTATTTTCTTTGCTGCTTATCACTGAGAGTCACCAAAGTTAGAAAGTTGATGCTCATTGTGGCTCTATAAAGACACACAGCCCTGAAACTGTACGATGCAACTTTTAACTAATTGACTGATGAAAATGGCTTCAAAAACTCACTTTACCATGAAGATAAACTTGAGCATGACAAATACTCTCAATTCCATATTTTCCTGATACTTACTGACAGTACACCAATATTGTTACTTCACAGCTGTATTACATTAGTTAATACACATAACTCACTGATGATATGGATAATCAGGTAGGTGTTAGTGGTTTTACTTTTACACTGTTATTCTTAACGGTATATTCTTTCATGCAAAAAAGAAATAAAAAATATTCTTAACATGTTGATTTTGTTGAGGTTTGTGATTTTTTTTTTTAACCTGTCCTGCCCAGCTGTCTGTTGCACATCATGAAGAGCTGGATGTTGTGATAGACAGATTATTGTTTTAAAATTTAATTGTAAATCTGAAGTCGGCCTGTTTTATTGGATGCAGGAGGCTCTAACCTGACTGGACTTCACACCATGTCTTCCTGCTGCTCTGTGTCTTCTGTCTGTGCTGCAGTGACGCCCTTCAAGTCTGAGACGTTCTCATACGCAGGATCAGAGTCTAACTGATGGGAGAGACGACAAAATGAAGCTCAATGTACCTCTTTCATTAAACCTGCATATAATTAGATTCTATCCAAAATGTATTTAATCACGTTTACAAGTAAATTATTTGCTGAAATAGTGTTATGACAAAATGCCTTACTGGTTTCTACTCAGCAAGTTGCATTTTTAACCTTAATCTCCCCACTTTTCATCATATGGTGGATTAAGATGTCTGATGTGTACATGTGTAAGTGAAGTGAAAAACGTACCTGCCACAACAGTCAAATGTAAAGTGAAGTTAGACGTCCTCTTTTGTTCTGGGCTTCACAGTAATATTTGTGTTCAGGTCTGATGTCAGTGATGGTGAAGTTCTGTCCTGACGGAGTTATGACGTCCTCGTGTAGATGTTACAATTTGCAACACAAATTTAACTTTTTGTATTTACTACATCAGAGGACTGTGGCTGTTGGTTTAGTTCACATGCAGTTCTTCTATTGACTGTGACAGACTGAAATTGTCCGCTGCACACAGATGTTGTCACTTTGTTAAGCTTCTCCTGCTGGACTGAAACTCCAGCATGTTAGTGTCCAGTCCATTGTGCGCCTGCCTGTTTTGCTTGTAACCTCTTAAAATGAAGCAATATGTACTCCCATTTTGTGGCCTCAGTGTAGATATGACTTGTGAGCATTTCATGTTTTTATTTTAGGCAAAACAAAACATTACAGAACAAAGGAGATGGACCACAATAACAAGGAATTAAAAAGGAAGCAAGACAGACAACTGTAATGAGATGTAATATAATGGAGCGGAAATAACCGGAAATAATCACCGAAATTAAAAACTGTAATAATGGAACTGGTAAAAAAAAAAAAAAGAGGACAGTAACAATGTGGTGAAAATAAACTGTTTACACAGATAAGAGAGACGTGCACATTATGGGATCTAAAATATGGCTCTTGACTACAATCTAGTGACAACAGAAGGAAATTACAACTAGATTACCTAAATCATGTTCCTCTCTCCTCTTTCTCTGTCTCCCAATGAGCTTTTAAATAGCAACTTTTATACTACAATTAAATAAAAAATAGTAATTACAGGCTTACCTCCTATTAGATATCTGATACAGTACTACAGAGATAAAGTATGTCTGAAGCTATACTGTAGAAGAATTAGGAAAATGTTTGCTAGGTCTAAATTAATCTTTAATAAGGTTAAAATGTATCCTGCAGAGTTTTTTTTTTCACTAGCATTATGGAGACATGGTTTTACAAGTGGGTTCTAGTTTTGTTTAGCAGGTATAATGTTTATCATATTCACCATGTTAGTTGTGTTAGTTTCTAACATTTGTTAATTGGCACTAAACAGACAGTACAGCTGAGGATGCTGAGAATGTCATTAGTTTTTCGAGTATTTGGTCATAAACCAAAGAAGCAAATAACACATCCAATAGTTGTCAAGACATGTCACAAAAAACTAAAATGACACCCTGGTTCTGGTGCAGGGTTAAAGTCGGGATCACCAAAGTCAGTAGGATGCATCCTCTGGGAACCATAAATGTCAGTAAAAACTAGTTGTTGAACTATTTCAGTCTGGACTCTGCAAGTGGCAGACCAACTGACTGCAAAACTAACTAACCAACCACAGACTAACTTTGCCATCCCTAGAGCCTAGCACATTTAAAAATGACAGAAAGCACAGATTAGACGTTCCGGTTGTGTTCAGCACTTTTGTTGACTGTACTGTACAATGCAGCTGGATCCTCCACAGTTTCCTGACTTCTGGTCCTGAGAAAAAAGATAAAGATATAGTATTAACTCAAACTGTGTGAAAATATTGTGAGCCAGGTTCAGGTGTGATGAAGACGTTTCAAGAGACTGATGAAGGCTTACACAGCATGGTTTAATGAGACTCGGCCGAGGAGATGCAGTGCCGGCACACAACATGTGAACACATGAAATGCCAACACAAATCTGAAGGGTACTTCCTGTCTGATATTTATCCTTCCTAGACCTACACAGATTCACTAAGTGTCCAAATAAGTGTCCTTTTCTACATAGCCAGTCAGTCTGTAATGAACAACATAAAGATAATCTTGACCTTGGGTTACCTAACAGATGTATAACAGTGCATCCTTATCAACTCAGCTGCATCAGTCAGCCGACAAGCAGGCAGAGAGGAGAGACAGAGTCTGGCCTACAGTTTTGGAGAGGCCCTGGCTGTCACCTTTGGCTTCCTTTAGCTCAGCAATTGACCCTATCATGACCTGCGGAAACCTGGGTCATAGTACCCTTAAATTCCTTCACAAATACAAACAGTGATAATGAAAATGTAAAGAAAACAAGCAAATGCAACAGGAATGAAAGTGTTAAAATGAAATACTTGATCATCAGCTCCATTAACTGCATGCCATGTTGAGGTTTTAGTGAGGATAATGTTCCTGTGAGAGGAGCTGCTCACCTTGGGGCAGTACTGGCACTGTTAAATTGGACAGCAGCGTACTCAACAACTTCCTCCTCCTCCTCTTCCTTGTGTCTTCGGGGGACAGCTGGTATGATGTTGGAGTAGACAGCATCTGTCTGGTTATTGGAGAAGTGGAAACTGGCATAATGAAGGTCATCCTGTTCCCTGCCGTCTGGTCTATCTCCAGGCTCAGATGATTGCTTGGAGGATCTCTTTTTCCTGGTTAGAATGAATTAAAAACCAAGGAAATAATAGTTCATCTGCCAACCTGGCTGCTAACAAGACTCTGGTATTCAATGTAAAATGCATCAGTAAAACAAATCTACTCACCCTATCAGTAGGAGGACAGAGAGCCATATGATAGCCAGGAAAACAGCAGATGTTGTTCCAAAGACTGCTGATTTCCATACTCCTGGGAACACTGGAATAAGACAAAATGACTCATTTGAGTGTGTTCAGATGTTTGGCCACATAGCGTGATATAACAAAAATATTTTTCTTTGCACATGTATGTTCTTTTGAAAGATCTTTTGCCATCTTAAAAGACACATTACATTACACAATGTCCTCCTGTATCCCCAAGCTCTCCCTGGCCAGCAGGAAGACTTAACCCCTTTACTGTCTCCCTGGTCTGTCCTATGACCTTCTCTCAGTCACATGTGCATGGCTAAATCTGGACACCCTGGCATCATCTCAAATCTCTCCTCTAAATGAAAATCTGCCTCATTTTGACAGCTTGAATCAATGACTTTAGCTTTCCTCATTTTTGTGAACAGAACAACAACTAGTGCGAACAAAGCTGCAGTATTTTTCTGACTTGAAATTCACTTTGCCTGTTTGTTTGGTATTTTAGTGCAAATGTTTCAGGTGAGGTGCAAACAGCTGGGAGTTTTAAATAAGGCAGTGCAAAGCTCAGTTACTCTGAACTGTATTCCACTTCACCCAGCCCTTTTGTACAATGTGTCTCGGCTCCTATAAGAACTAAAACAGGGGAAAACAGCCACAAGATCGAGGAAGAACACCAACACTACAGGGGATACGGAAAAGAAGATCTAACGCAGCAACATTGTGATTCCATACATGTCTGGAATATCAGAGAAACTCAGGAGGATTTTCAGCGAACACCACATCCCTGTGTTTCTTAACCCAAGAACACGCTAAGACAGATTCTGGTTCACCCTAAAGACCGCACACCCAAACACGAGAAAAGCAATCTAGTGTATGTGGTCCAATGCAGTGAGCAATGCACAGATCTGTATATTGAGGAAACTAAACAACCACCACACAAACACATGGCTCAACACTGAAGGGCCAAATCCTCAGGTCAGATCCCAGCAGTTTACCTACATCTGAAGGATAAAAGTGCAAATTTTAGACAGAGAGGATGGTCGGTTTGAAAGAGGTGTGAAGATATTCATTTACACCCGGGTTGAGAAGCCGTCGTTTAACAGTGGAGGGGGTCTGCGACACCACTTGTCCCCCACTTACAATGCTGTCCTTTCATCCCTTCCCAGGAAACTTAACAAACGTTCACTTTTGGCCTCAGGTGAGGATGCCACCATAATGTCGTTACAAATGCCAGGAGCACTAAGAACCAGCAGTATCGATCATCTTGGCAAACGACCCCACAGAGGTTAAACAGCTGAGTTTCCCTACCTTCTCAACTAAGTCCAGTTGCCCTTGATTTTAACCTTGGACTGCTTTTGATAACATTGTTCTCATCAAGTTTATTGCAGAGATCCAGGAATCTAGAAGTGTCACATGGATGGTTTAACTCACATGGGGCATCATTTAATTGCACGCCTTAATCTCCCCACTTTTCATTAAGATGTCTGATGTGTAAGTGAAGTGAAAAACGTACCTGCCACAACAATGGGCGGCTGTGGCTCAGGAGGAAGAGCGGGTTGGCCGTTACTCGGAAGGTCGGCGGTTCAATCCCTGGCTCCCCCTGGTTGCGTGTCAAAGTGTACTTGGGCAAGATACTGAACCCTGAATTCCGCCAGTGTGTGAGTGAGTGTGAATGTGAATGTTAGTTTCCGTTTGAGCACTTAGGCTCAGTGTGTGAATGTAAAAGCGCTTTGAGTGGTCGAAAAGACTAGAAAGGTGCTATACAAGTACGGAGCATTTACAATCAGATGTAAGGTGGAGTTATGACGTTCTGTTCTGGGCTTCACAGTAATAATTCCCACTGTGTTCAGCTCTGAAGTCAGTGATGGTGAAGTTCTGTCCTGATGCTTTTGGTGAGTCTTCATTCTCCTTGTACCAGGTATAATTAGCTGCTGGGTTAGCATCACTGCTGCAGGTCAGAGTCACTGAACTGCCCTCCACTATCTCAGCAGAGGGACTCACTGACACAGAGGGAAGCTTTGGAGCATCTGGAGACAAATTAAACATTGTGTATGGAGACATATTCCATTCATCTTAGCATGCATAATTCGGACTTACTTTTGTATTTTGTATTTTTGTTACTTTTCCTTTACCTTAAAGTATTATATTACCATTTTTTTTAAGTTTCGAAGTGTGCCAAAGGTTGAATCATTCACTCTGTACAATGATTTTGCTTTAACGAAAGACAACAATTATGATGAGTCAGCAACAATTCAAAATGACTAGGTTGTGATTGCTTACATTCCTGAGAGATAAGGACCCAGGCGGTGTAGGGAGTAGAGGTAAATAACTGTGCTCAAGGGTGCAAGTATGCAAGCAACGTTACCAGGGAAAGGGAGATAATGAGCATTTAGTGCTAAGAACGACAGTCCAGAAACAACACTTCCAAGAGCTACTCTGGAAAACCCCTGTGATTCTGTTAAGAGTCAAATAGTATTACTGCAAAGTTTTATAGCCAAACATTGTTAATTTTAACATTCAAAATATAAAATAATTAATAAAGAGTAGTTAAATGAATTCACAAAAGACGCCACTAGACGCCAGCAGATTATAAGAAATTCTCCATCAGAACGTGCCAGAAAGGGTGTGGTCAGTGAACAAAGAGGAGGAGATCACGTAGAAATAACACCTAAGAGAGAGGAGACTGAGGATTTTAAAAGAAAGTGTTCACGAACTGCGCACTCGCTTCGTCTTGCTGCATGCCAAGATGTTACTGTTTTTTAGTTTTGTTAAAGAATAAAAACTCTTTATGCACTGATTTTCAACTGACTCCAGTGAAGTTTTTGGACTACAAGTTACTGACTATTTTGGTGAGATTCTTAAAGTGGTGAAGACGTCTTTTGGGTCTTTAGCTGGCCTAGCCTGAACTTAATCTTCATCAGTATCACGAAAAATAAAGCTCAACTTGCACTGGACATTTAACGATAGAGATGAAGAGTTAATCTGCCCGTACTGGTTTCAGACTTGCAGTAGTAGATCCCTCTGTCCTTAGAGCTGATGGAGGTGAAATAATAACTTCCTTTGTGTTTTTGAATCAGTGTTTGGTTCTCCTTGTACCAGGTGTATTTAGCTGCTGGGTTAGCATCACTGCTGCAGGTCAGAGTCACTGAACTGCCCTCCACTATCTCAGCAGAGGGACTCACTGACACAGAGGGAAGCTTTGGAGCATCTGTATTACATGAATATAGATTATCATAAGTTGATGCATATTTGGCAGGATGTGGAAAGTTGATCGTGGTCTAAATGTACTGAAGCTGCTCAATGAATTACAGCAGAAAACTTGAAGCAGGCAGGTAAAATCTTTTCGTTGTCGAGTTAAAGGGATACTCCAGAGATTTAGTTTTGCACTTCCTATGGCACATATGGATGTGCCACCCTGGAGGAGCTGGACTACCTGTGCAACTTGAATGGGCTGCAGGTATTGCATCATTCAACCAGTGGTGACGAGGACGTTAACAAAATGCAAAACTAAAGAACAATCAGTCAGGAAGGGTAAGGAGAGAACAACTGTCTGCGGCCACCACGTGCAAAACCATTCATTTTTGGGGGGGTTGTCTTGCTGTTGCCGCTCCAAAAACAGGTGATTCACAATTACTTAATATGCTTCCTAACTGGACAGATTGATATCCCAGAAGTTCACTTGACATGATGTTATACTGTGATGATATTTTTAGAGTGTATTTAATCTCTCAATAGCATTAAACCTGGTGTTTCACTCACATTTCACATTAATAAAGATGTATTCAGATGTCCTCCACCCCAGCTGGTTCTCAGCTGCACAGTAATACTCTCCAGAGTCAGAGGTCTGGATGGAGCTGAAGACAAGCTGTGGTTCTTTACTGAGATCTTCATGGTCTGGATTTTTAGTCCTCTTGTACCAGATATAGTTAGCTGCTGGCTTAGCATCACAGCTACAAGTCAGATTTACTGAACTGCCCTCCACTAAATCACCAGAGGGACTCGCTGACACGGAGGGAAACTTTGGAGCATCTGCAGGAGATATTAACATACATTAACTTTAAAATGATTTCATTATTGCCGCTGTCCAAAGACTTTGTGTTTCTTCTGGTGTTTCCTGCACCAATTACACACCTTTATAGTAAAAGCTGATTTCCTTTTTCTCTTTTATATGCTAATAATTATTTTGGGGGGAAAGTATCCCTCATTCAAATTGTTGTGGAACTTGTGCTTAAAAATTAAAACAAAAAGCTTGAGTGAACTAAACTGCACAAACACACACACAATTACTGTCACCCATTAAAGACACATATATTCATGATACAGCATTAGTTACTCCACCAGATGGTGTCATGTCAGTGGAAGACTGGATGTAAACTCACACACTGAAGGAGAGCGGGACTTCTCATATCCTCCTACAGCACAGGAAAAGCTGCCTGCAGGATCAAAGGGGCCTGAATATGTAGATGTTTCTTCCTGAATTTTCTGTCCGTTCTTGTACCAGATGTAGGAAGGATGGCCAGGTAGACGACAGCTGCTGTGACACTTCAGCTCTGCCCAGGGAGAATACTTTGATCTGCTCACCTGCACCTGCAGATCTGAATACATGAATAACAGAAATCTTCATTTTTAACTGTCAACACATACAAGCACACAGATGCAAGTAACCTTCACAAGATGTTGAACACTTGAAACTAAATTGATAAATATTCAGATGAAAATGTTACCTGTGACAGACAGAGTGACTCCAGGTGAACCAGTAAATCTTCCACCTGGTTGGTTTGTTATGAACCTGAACTTGTACTCAGCTGAGTCGCTCTCTCTCAGGTCTGTGATTCTCAGAGTGCAGCGTTCGTTCTGACAAATATACTCCACACGACCTGAATACTCTGGGTCCGTTTTCAGATCCACTTGAACATTATTACCCTCTTTCGTAAACCAGAATGTTTCCTGAACTTTGGTATCATGATTATTTAAGCTGGATGGATATGTGTAGGTACAGTTTATGTCCACTGTTGATCCTTTTAAGGCACAGATCTGAGTTGGAGTGTAAGTCACTCCCCAGCCATTCTGACTCTGTACCACTGAAAAACAGATGACATCAGAAACCAAAATCAGATTCAAAACATCAGAGAACAAACTTATTTACAGGTTTTCATGTCATTTTAAAGACTTTTAGAGGCAGAGGGGAGAAAACCTGTAGACTGTCGGCTCTCCATGGCACAAGACTGGACAACTTGTGTAGGTTCTATGTAATATCCTGTAAGACAAAGAGGATCAAGGTACCAGCGTGTTTTTGGGAACAGCTATCCTGGATAAGCAGTGTCACAAAAACGTATCTCTGTAACTAGAACTGAAAAAGAATAACGTATTTTATCAGGTGTTTCAGTTTTTATTGATACAATAGGAATATTTATCAATGTTGGTGCAACAGCTTCGGTCCATTCATTTAAGACATAGAAAAGGACATTAGGGGGGAATCGGAGGAGCATTTATTTACTTTTTAAACTTTTTGCTTACTAAAACCTTGTATTAAATATTTGTTGGAGATCATACACCCTAACTCTGAAGTCTCATGGAGGGGATGATGGCACAGACATAACTATTGTTGACTAGCTATCAGGTTTTAAAGATCAAGTCATCAAATCCGTCTAATTTAAAAAATAAATTCACTTTGTGGTATGGCTGCTGACTGAAGGCCTTCCACATAACATCAGGTATAGCTGATAGCTGATCCAGGGGAATTTAAAAAAAGCATCATCAATGGAGATCTGATAGGACGATTCACCATGGCAACAGGTAAACAAGCCTCTATTTTAACCCAGTGATGCTCAAAACGTGGACCATGATGTTTCTCTTAAATCACAGGATGAAAGGAGTCACTTAGTTAACAATAATACATTTTATTCAGTGTAGTCTGCTCATTCATCATTTACCAGACGTAAATTTCTGTAATGTTGCATTGGATTTTAATTATATTTATTCACCTGTAACCTGACAGGGACAAAATACCACTGGCAATAACTGAAGATGAAAATATAGATAAGACACAGTTTAGTCATGGACCTATGATTAGTCCGACCCAGTAATAATAATTTTGGTCATTTGCATTTGAAAATGTGTCTCTGTTCAAACTGACTGTAATATTTTAGACGTCCAGCCTATTTTATGTAAAAAAATTATGCTCATTTCACATTTAGATACAATGCTTCTATGGGTGGAGCCTGATTCGAAGCTTCGCAGCGAAACATGCAATTTTGTCTACATTTTAGAGTCAACGTTTAATTTTACATAGAACCACCAGTTTTCTGACAATAAGTTAATATACAGCCAATTACAATATACATTTCAATGTTTGATGCTTTAACTAAACATGTGTAAAGAAAAACACTTTCAATAAATGTTTTAAGTGCGTAGATAAATCCAAAATTGTAACCCTGGGTCGTCATGTGTAGGCGTAGCTTGTATGTTTGTGGTGGCAGAAGAGGAACACTTGCTGAAAAGATGGAGCCCCAGCTTCACCGGTGTTGTGCCGAGTTGTCGCGGGACTTTTGGATAATTTGTCACCGTTGATGAACCACACAAAGAATATTATATCGTTTTTAGACCCGCGAGGAACCGCGACGCGCATGCAGTTGTCGGCAGCACGGCATGCACGTAAAACTCTGCACAAGACCGGTGAATGGCAGGAGGGAGGGAGGGAGAGAGAGGGGGAGAGAGAGAGGTCAAAAATAAGCATCAGTTTAGCTTTAGGGACAGCCCTAAACATGACAAATGATTGTTCATTGATCAGTTAGGCTACAGGCATATAGATTAGTTTGATTGAAACAGTGATTACTGCAGTAGTGTAGGCCACTAAATGTTTCAGTGTAACTGTTGCTGCCTTAATGTCCACAGAGTCACAGTGATACACAGAAGGACAGAGTAGCCCGTATAGATTTTATCTGTGCTGAGGATGAATCCACAATGTCGCTGTCTCAGTCCTTACATTGATGACAGATTGATCATAAAAGTGGTCATGTTGAAGATCATGTTTGGGTATGGAACCTATATCCAACTGGGACTTTGATGTTTGCAAAAACTTCTGCAAATGAATGTGTTCAGTTTGTGCTTTGGTATCGACAGTATGAATGAGGAAATGAAACGCTGCGTCAGACCGCTGCTTCAGGCTCCGCAGGAGGAGAAGAGTCAGAGAAACTCAGCATTTGTTGAAGAAAACCTTCTCCCGAGCAGCTTAGCTTTACAGCATAAATTGCTGGAGTTACTGATCTCGTTTTTTTTTTCTGATCTCGGTCTCTTAAACTGATAACCCAGAGTTTCCCTCATCTAAGGCTTAACATACTTCTCAGTAATCCTGCTTTCTGAAACTGGCCATGGACTACAGAAAACTATGACAGATTATCAAATCAAAATTATTTAATTTGTGTAATGAGGCAGAAATGCATAGTGAAATGTAAAGAGGAGACAAAATAAATACCATAATAAAGAGGGTAGAAAATGCAAAGGAATAAACATATTAACAAAAATATTGAAATTAAAAAATACATTTGAAAAACAATTAAGTTAAAGATTATAAAGGGCAATAAATAAATAAGGTAATTAATACAAAGGTGAATAAATACATAGAAATAGTGTTTTAAGTGAGACTCCCAGTAAACAGTCAACATTTAAATGGTAAACATGGGACCACCTGAGTAAATCTTTATAAATTGCATCATAAATTAGTATTTTAGTGTATTTTCCTTTATCACATATTTAATAATTTTGAGTAATATCACAATTATGGGTATTTCATAATTATGGGTATATCACAATGCATCTAAAAATTGATTTGCCTTATCCGTACACAACACACACACAGACATTTAACACATTTAACATCCAAGTAGAGTCCAAAAGCTAATGTTGGTGTTGTAGTCAGAGTTTTAAGGTGTTTTAAATTATCACACTGCATAAAACAGGTCAAATATAGGAATATGGAGATCTTAGAATGAATATTTTAATTGAATGTTCTTTCTTATACTCACTTCAGGTTGCTCTGACTAAATGTAAATACATAAATGTAGATATACAGCACCTGGTACAGTCAGGAGAAGGACGACAAATCCTCTCGCTGCTGCTGTTAACCTCATATCTGCTCCTCGCGTCTCACTGTGTGACTTCAGAGACATTAAAAGATGTCTGCAGCTAAATAATGTCCACAGAATAAATCATTCGCATCAAAAACACTTCTACCTAACATGAAAGGAAGTTATCTTGATAAGACAACGTTACTCTGTAAAATCCTCCCAACTTCCTTCCTCTTTACATCATTTACATGAATAATGAACCAAATATACAAGTAGACTTAAGTTCACACTAAAAAGTAACTTGCTTTGTTGTTTTTGCAAACTATGAACTTTCTGTCTATCTATTTAAGAGAGTGTAACAAACTAGTTTTGAGGCACTTCAGAACATCCAACAAACAACAAAGACCATCTAAGGAAATCTTATCGTAAATGTGGTCATAGTTTAGGGTCTGTCAGTGATGCTAACTAAACAGGAACAGAAGGAAACAGTTTGATGCATCGCTTGGATGCACACCATGGGTTCAAATTGTTGTGCTGCATCAGTGTGGAAAAAAGTAACATGTGCAGTCTTATTGATAGTATAAGACCTATTTTTCAAAAAAAAAAGTTACATGAAAAGACTAAATGTTACAAAAAGTCAGACAAATGATATTTACAGGTGAATGCAGTCAAATACTTTACATATTCTAAAATTCAAAGTAAGTTTCTCTAGGGCATATAATTCATTGTAAATCTTGGAGAGGCATATCCCAAGAAAAATATTAACTAAAAGAAAGAACTAAAAAAAAAACAGAATTATCATAAATGCAATATCTGTTTTAGTCGTTAGGTTTTGTTGACTGTGCTGTACAATGCAGATATTATTTGAAATAATATAATTACCATCACATCCCAACAGTGTTTTAGAGTTTAAAATATAAAAAACAGGGGAAATGACAAATCAACACATTTATTTCATTTGTTATGTCATCTGAATCTTGCAGTGAGTAGTGTTGTAGTACTCGAGACCGGTCTTGGTCTCGAGTACTACAAAAAAACGTATTGCTTCAAATGCAACCAATAATCCTACTTAAATATATGTTCCCCCTTCCTGCGATGGTAAACATGGAAAAGGAGTGTTGAATAAAGATGCTTTTGTTGATTTCAGCTCTTAGTGTTTGTATGTGGGTGTTTTACTGGGAATGTGGATCTTTCAGATCAACCTGAGAAGTACCTATGATCTCGTTCCACATTTCATTGTGTGTCATGTAATGTGGGGAACTGGTCTTGGTCTCGACTTGGTCTCAGCCCTTAAAAGTCTTCTTCTTGTCTCAGTCTCAATAAACTCTGGTCTTGGTCTCGGTTTGGGTTGTCTTGACTACAACAATTGTAGTGAGGATAATGTGAGAAGAGCTGCTCACCTCGGGGCAGTATTACTCTTAAATGTGACAACAGCGTACTCCATGAAATCTTGTTGCTCCGTGTGTCTGAGGGAGCGAGCTGGTCTGATGTTGGAGTAGAGAGGATCTGCCTGGTTGTTGGTGAAGTGAGTGCTGGCAT